ACCGTACCCATTCTAACTATTGCTTGAATTCACCATACCCATTCTGATTGTTGCTTGAATTCACCATGCCATTCTAATTGCTTGCCATATCCATTTTATTATTGTTTGATTGCACAAACCATACCCTGGTTATTGCTTGATTCCACCATACTCAACTATCTGTATATGTACAAAAAAAGTTTGAAAATTTTATTTGCTTGCATAGTTAATAGAAGTTTACTTGCCTACACCCATAGCTGTAAGGTTGATTTGATCTTACTTGCTTTGCTTGCATAAGTCTTTTACTTCAAAATTCCTGTTTAAGTCTGAAAATTGAAGAATACCAACTAATACCTGAAATTATGTCGAACACTCGAAGTGGAAAGCCAGAGTTATTATAGTAGAGAAACAATTACCAAAACCTTCAAAACATATTACTACTAATATATGGATTAATGTATGGATAAGTGGGCAACTCTTTTTATGTCATACATATACATTTACACATAATACCAACATTTATGAAATTCCTCCTCATTTTTCAGGACAATATTATCCCAGCTAGCTTATATGATTTCAATATCAGTGCTTTTGAAGATCATCTTATCCTGGGAAAAACTCATGCTATTTCAAAAGCCTATGTGAAGAACAATACGACCAACTATAAATATTCTATAGGATCTTATCATTGGATTATATCTGGAGAAACTCGTCTTCTTGAACTAAGAGAAGATAATTTGAAATTTGTTTTTTCAAAATATCGCCTAACACCTTTTTAGGAAGTTGAACAATATATGGATACAGATGCTTACACATTTGTTATTTGATAATATATTTGACTTATTTAATAGTGCATATAAAAGTAACATCATTTCTAATTTTAAATTTTTCAGATATACTCGCTAATGCAATAGATATCATACCTAAACAAATGATTCAATCGAAAGATGGCAATCAAACATGGGTACAAAATGTCATACTTCTGAACAAAAATTTCACAACAATGGTGATTACACTTTGGGACTCTTTTGTAGATAGAGAATGTGTAGTAATAGCAGAGAATGTTGAGAAAAAACTATTCATCTTTGCTACACATCTTAGAGTTATGTCGTTTTTTGGTATGTATTACCAAGTACATATATTACGTACCAAGCATATATATTACTTCATACATAGTCACATGTAATATTTTATATATAGTCACCACTAATATATATTATAAAAATTCTTATATAAGCTTGAAATTATCTATAAAAGTTCGTAGCACATTCTTTATTAATACACCTTTCACAAGAGTGAAAGAAATGACAAGATGCTACGTTTCTTTTGTTTTAACTTTAGTATTTATTTTTTTGTTATTTCTCACTTGTTAATTCTTCTAAATGTGTTCATATTATTTGAACTAATTTAGGGTGAAAATAAATTAAATTAAAATCGATGATTTAGTACTGAACAAACCATACACAGAGAGAAATCCCACAAAACTTTCTTCTCCCGTGTGAAGTAAATTCACTCCAATTCAAAATCTTCAAAGACGTCTATTGGCGGTAACATTACATGTTATATAGATGTATTAATTTCTATTTTTTATTTATAATATGTCTTAATTTTTTCTTCTCCTCTGATTATCCGCTTTTCCAACAAAAACATCTAATTATTTTCCGGCAGAGAAGCTGAAGCTAGAATCTCCTCTGCCCGACTTGCAACTCGTTTCTTACCTTATGTGCTTATTTGAATCCGTGAGCTGATTATCCAATAGTGCGTTCGTCAATTACATAGAAAGTGGAAACTTGCAATTTTTTTTGAGTTGTGAGGCATATCAATTTCGCATTTTGAAAGCTACACTTTCTATTTAGGTATTTGTGGCCTGTCAACCCTCATTACAGAAAGAAAAAAAGTCCTATAATACTATGTATAATTCATATAACAATTCTTATAGCCACATTACGTCCTTAAGTCACTGTCACGATCATATATCCTTCTCGAGCACTTATTTCACACTATTATCCTTTGTCTAAGAATTTTATTAAAAGCGTAAATTCTCCTTTTAGGCATGTCGTGATCAACCTTAGGGATTTTGATGGTCAACCTAAATCCAAATCATTTCTTGATTCGCTCAATTCTCTTGAGCAATTTTTTGATTTTCACAATTTAAGTGACTATTGTCGTCTTTAACATGCTAATGTGGCACTTGTCGAATTTGTTGGGTATTGTTAGAAGCCCTTTTTACGTAACATCGATAAGTAGGTCAGTGCCCTGTCACTTTGTGAAATGAGATAAAATGAATACTAACTAATAGATATGCTCATGTGTATTATCGAGCTCCATTGTTAAATCAATTCTTTTTTGCAATTTAGGCAAGGTACATCCACAATTTGTGCGCATTTATCCCCCATCTCGATATTGGGTAAACGACATAGCAACCGTAGACAAAATTGATAATAAATCTTGGTATATGGCTTGTAACAACTGCTATAGACGATCCAATGTTGATTTTGGAGAAATATATCTCTGTATTTTTTGCAAGAATCCAAACTCCAAAACTATTCCTCAGTAGTATGAAGTAGTAATTGATCTTTATATTTTCCTTTATTAGACTTGGTAAATTTACTTGTATACATACTTTCTCTAATTCTCTTCAATGTTTGTTTTATCTATTTTTATTCTACTTTAGGGCTAGAGCATATGTGCAATTGTCAGATGTCACAGGCTCAATTAATGCAAGTGCAATTGGCGAAGTGGCTGAAAAACTGTTGTTTACAAATACAGAATCATTTATGGAAGAAACAAATCCTGTAGGATTTTTTGCCTGACTTAAACATCCTGACAGTCCATAAATATATTTATGTTCCTAGAAAATAATATTAATAGAGTATATATCATTGGCATATAAGATTCACAGACAAAATTTGAAGTTATTCTTCAAAAAATGCAGGATACTCCATAAGCATTCTACTTGAAAGCATTCCAAACTGAGCCCAATTCATCAAATTATAGATTTGATATCATCTCCATGATAGATTGGACAGATATAGACGATGGAAACACCCAAGTGAAAAAAGCCAAGAAAATGTTGAGAAAAGCAATCATACAAACTCGCCTGAAGAAAATTGGTCGCCTCCAGCGAAGAGAGCCATTTTCAAATCTTTGAATGATGCTTCAAATTCAAATGTTACTTGTGATGCAAACTTAGTTTCAAATATATCTGACATAAATCCGTTTGCTTCAAAGCAAAAGTAGAGTGAAGAATGACTGAAATCTTTTTGTCTGGAAAAAAATAGATTGCTTCTTCTTGTCTGCTTTATTTTTCTTTATTTTGCTTTATTTTGGCAATCATAATGTTGACAAATGATGTATGTATAACATGATACTTAGACCATTTATTGCTATCCATTTATTATGGACAGTAGAATATTTATTTTGTATTTTTGCAGTGAATTGTCAACATTAATGAAGTATATATTCTAAAGTATATTCTGTTTTATTCTTTATCTTTCATTTACTTTATTAAAAGCAAATAAACAGCTAAAATATCCATACACAATTTTTCACTTTTGAATTTTGAATTTACGTAGTTGCACCAAAAATAACCTTAAACTAATTTCAAATTGTTTATATATTACAAATTCTTCACATTTACAATTAAAAACTAATCAGGAACTACGGGGATGTAGAAAATATTGATTATAATAAATGTCTACTGCAATCTTTATTCTATATATACTTATCGTGTCTGCTTCAACTATTTCTAATGGATAGTTTAAAACAAAGCATTCTTTGTATTTGAGTAAAAATACTGGAGAATTTGCCCTGTATCAAAGAATTGTTTTTTATTAGACAAAATAAATAGTTGAAGGGTAAAATCATAAATCAGGAAAGAGTAAATGTTGTCAATTTTAATGCATTAAATACATACATGTTATTTGCGCAAGGTAGGTAAGGTATAATTTCCAAATTGAGCCTTTTGTTTCTATGTTTCCTTAAATCCGGTCTCCTAGAAGAAAAATTGCTAGAATTCAATGAAATTTGGACTATTTCAACTAATGATTTTATTTGGTCTTTGATTTCGTTTGGTGTATGAGACTCCTCACTACAATCGTATATTTGGACCTTCCATTCAGGAAAATTAACAAGACAGAGATACCAATTTTTTTCTGATATGAACATGGAATTAATAAATAGTTGCAAGCTATCCATAAATGCCCAGCCACCGACAAATCACCATTCATGTATTGCTATAAAGTCACAGTTAATAAATTCTTTTGAGAATGACTAAAACATTCTGCCTCTACATTATGTTGTCACATCAATTGGGCCGCACATTCATGTTCAAATTTGAAGTCCACAATTACATATTCTTTGAAAATAAGACTGCAACCTTCATTAATCAACTCTCTCAATAGCTTTAATTCCATTTCTATATGCTAATACAATAAATAGAAATAAATTAGATATGTTGAGCATAAAATAAAATTAATTAAGCAAGGGTTATAAACTTCACTAACCGCAATATTGATATCTTTGGTTGTATCCATTATAGTTTTTATTGTATCTCTTCCATATAAGTTGTCACCTCCTCCAATCTTCCAATATACACTATATGTATATATTATAGTTTAAATTATTATTAAATCAATGTAATACAATTAATAAAATACAATCAAATTTCTTACCCGGATGAATTCCGTGCCACCCATTTTTTTATTGTTGTATATCTTTCCATGTGATAGTCTTCCAACGGATAACCTGAATACTTTATTTTCTTATTTTTCTTTCCTTTCTAGATGTTCCCACCGGTTGAATTTGTTGAAATAGTGCTTTCTGGCCACTACTAGAACTAGGAACATCCTGCAGCTGTGAACAAGCAATAACTTCCAGTTTTGATTCCAAATCATCTAATCGATTCATCACATTTTCATTTTTGTCGTCAATGTACGACCTCATTGAAGCAAAATTGTTGTCTATATAAGATTGTATGGAAGCAAAATTGTTGTTCATATAAGAATTGCATTTTAGGTGTCTCTTATCTTTTTTGTCTATTTTTCTTATATATATATTTTTTATGCCATTTGGCAATAGGTTAATTAGACCATTAATTTGTTCAATGCTAGTTCTGCTTTAGGGAAGGGTTTAGGAAGCAATACAAGAAAAAATATCCGAACAACAAATCAATTGTTGTTGTGAGTTCGTCATTCTCTTTAAATTTTCTTCGAAGCTTAATATTCATGCCAGATATTTGCACTAGGAGTGTGCATGACAATTTTCTTTATGCTTTTTGGTTTTGCTTTTGGGAATAAATAATAATATAGGTTGGACAAGCTGGTCGAGAGAAGTGAAAGTCCATGAGTGATGAGGTAAATATATGCAATCTAAGATATTGTTTATACTTTATTCTTCTTCTTGAGAAATTTACTAATGTTATGAAAATAAGGAAAAAAGCTCCCTTGGTGCAAAAAGACTGAGAAACAAGAGGAATATGAGCAAAAATGGCATACTATAACAAGAATTTGGTAATCCATCTATGAGAAGCATAGACTTATACACTGTTTAGTTTAGACTGCAATACCGAAACAACTTGTATTGAACTATTTTTATAGGTTGGAGGTGCTGATGATGAGTCCGCCAAGTCAAAGTCGTGGGTTAATGGTGATAAGAACGATAGAAGCAGTGGAGATGTTAGTTGGGATTAGTTATACAACTTTTTTTTAACTTGAAATTTGGCGACTATGTTGACTTATTATTTTGTTTTAATTAATGCGGAGGAAGACGATGAGTAAGGACTATCACAAAAAAATGGATTCTGGATTAAGGTAACTAACAAACAAACAATTTTCCTTTATTAATTTGCGTTTCTGGCTTCAAATTTTGTAAAATGTTTGTTTTCAAACTAGGTTAATCGATTGGATAAATTAGGATTTCATGAAGAATTATAGTGCAAAAATTGGGTTTCATGTTAATTTTATTGAAATCAATTGAAACTAATTATTGATAATAAGATTTTCTGCCTCTCTCTCTCTCTCTCTCTCTCTCTCTCTCTCTCTCTCTCTCTCTCTCTCTCGCTCGCTCTCTCTCTCCGGCAGCTCTAGAAGGCGATTGTGGCCTCGCTAGCCGACTTTCTCTCTCTCACTCTCTCTCGCTACTCGTCTTTCTCCTACAACCTGTTGGTTCCCTTCCATTAACTAGGGCAAAAAGAAAGAGGAAACGTATGTCTTGGTTTTCCTTTTCGATATACAGACTTATTTAGATGGAATTGGTGGAGAAAGAGAAGGTCGAGTGTTTGTAGAACCATGAACAAAAAAGGCAAACTACAATAAGAATTTGA